AAAAAGAGTATTACCCAAGGCAGTGTTGATTGAGTAGAAAAAGACTTGAAGGTTTCTCCACTCATGTCTTCAACCTTTTCAGGAGAATTTACGCCAAGGGAATCTATTCTTGCAGCTTCACGCTCGTTCAGACGCAAAGCATCATCCCCTTCATGTGTAGCAGCAACTACAGCAGTCCGGTCATCCCCATCAGTTTCAGTAGGAAGAGCTGTTTCCATACCTTGCCCCATCAGACTATCTTGGTCTGATTCATCTTTATCCAAACTAGCAGCATCATTCATTTCCACATCCTCAACGTGCTGAACATTGTCAAGCTCCATTTCCTGCCTTTGAGGGGGTTCATTTGAAGAAAGTTTCGCATGGTCCACATGAGCAGTCTCCATTGTCTTTTCTTCTAATGAAACACATTCAGCACCATCCGAGTTCAGCTCGCAGATTTTTTCAGGATTTTTCTCTTTAACATCTTCATCAGGTTTTTCTACCACATCCTTCACATGATTTTCATTGTCCATCTCCTTCTCCTTTGGGTTCTCTTGCAACCCACAATTAGCAAATTTTTGTTCAACCACTCCAGTCTCAATATCTATTTGTTTTTCCACTGAACCACAACCATTCGGCCCATCTTTTGCATCAGCGTTTATTTTCTCAACATTCCCACTTTTGGTACTGATTTCTTCATGAACAGACCCTTCCTCATTGGTCACAGTATTGTGATTACTTTCTTCGTTCACCTTGTTATTACAGTTGTTGTCCTTTTCTTCATTTAAACATGTATTTACATCTTCTCTGACGTTCTCCATTTCGATTACATTGCCCGATACAGTAAAATTCTCTTTTTTGCTTTCAACATTAGCGTTCACGGCTTCACTTTTTGACTCAGGAACATTGTTTCCCGAACCACTGGGTAGCTTTTCGGCATCTTCCATCTCTAAATCACTTTTTCTCCTAATGGTATGTACTCCAAGTCATCACAATAGGTCCATCAAGATATATTCTAACAGACACATAGATAGTTCTCACAGTCCCAAAACAGGAAGCAAAACACGTAAACCTCAAACAAAAATACAATGTAAATATTCAAAATCAAGGGACACCCAACAACAACAACAACAACAACAACAACAACAAAAAAAAGGGACACCCAACAACAATTCAGAAATCCTAATTCATTTACCAAAACGAGAAGGTGAATTCTCCATGCATTTGGGGGTGGGGCTAAAAACCCATATCTCACTTAACTCGAAACACGACGAGGACACCGAAAAACAAAAATCCCAATTCTGTTTAAGTCGATTAACAACAGATTAAATTTTTTTTAAAAAAAAATAAAATACATCAATTACATCATGAATCATAGGTACCTTCCGAGATTTAAGAGATTAAAATAAGATGGCTACGAAATCTGGGATTTGGGTCGTTTATCCAGGTAGAACAAATCGAGGTGGCAACGAGCGAGCGAGTGTTCCGATTTCTGCGCGCCCTACAGCTTCAGCTAAAAATTGGTCGACATCAAAACAGGCAAGAAGATCAAGATTGTCTATGTAATCTGCAAACGCGATGAGAAAGCTCGTGCCTTGGCGGTGGAAGCCGGCGAAAGCTCAACGTCGAGAGAGAGAGAGAGAGAGAGAGAGGGAGCTCTGTTTATGCGGTTTCGTAGTTCAAAACGAATTTGGCTCAAATATGCAACAACATTTGATTCATTTGTCTATTTTGCCCTTCCAAAATTTAGTTTTGAATGAGTGGATTGAATGGTTTGAAAAGTCTACAATTTGATTTCAGTCCTATCCCCAAGATTTTGGAGGATGTGTTTATGAGTTATGGTACAAAAGTTGAAGGGCTTGGAGTGAATTTCTTTTTGAAATGAGATTTGGGTCATTTGTTTCATTTTTGCAGAGGATGTATACTATTTGCTAAGATTATGGTTGATTTGTGAAATAAGATTCATGATAGATAATCTTATTCTGCTATTATATCAATGGATAAATAGTGAATTAAAATTGATGTGATGTGTAAGAGTGTTTGTTTGGTATTATTTAATTATATTAAAGATAGTGACGATAGTGAGATTAAGTTAAAATTGAGTTAGATTTTAAATATAAATTGACACTTGTATCCATTGTTTAACTCATCATTTCACAAAATTATATGGGTAAAAAGTGAACACTACTCATTTATACACCACAAAAATTGATTAAATTTAAATAATAAAACTTTATGATAACAAACTTTACAATTCACTCGAAAAGTGATTAATATAGAACTCCTTTGAATAATAAACTTGATATGATAATAAACTTTAGAAGACAATTAAGTAGATATCATATAACAAAATGAGTAAAATTATATTTGTATATCTCTTAAAAAATATGGGAAGCCTACGTGCCAAACTGCCAATAAAATGCCATGCTAATTTTAGCCGAGCTAAACATCTAAAAATAGATTGATATAGTTTTTTTTTTCTCTCATTCTTGTTGGAGCTCTCTTATCTTTGTACACTTGTCTGCACTATTGTAAGACAATGTTTATTGTTTCCAGTTGAAATGCCTATTATACTTTCTCGAGTTTTTTTTAGTTTCTTTCCTCTCAAATATTANAGAACAAAAGCCCGAGAAACTAGCAGTGATCCAACTACTGAATCAAAAATAAAAACCTAGCATAAACTACAAGCCTAACAAGTAAAAACAACAAACTAAAGACTAAAATGGAAAAATGCACTGATAGCCAAGAGTTATCCTACAAATTTCAGAAACTAAACAAAGACCACACCAACAGCAAAACTAGAATCAAGCAAATCCAAAGGGCGTGGTATTAGCCTCCTCAAACTCTAACCATTCCTTTCAAACTCTTCTAGCTATCTTGATGAAGCGAAAGTGTACGAAAGGGAAAACAAAAAACAAGATCTCAAGACAATAATTTTAATTCATAAGCTTGACCCATTCTCCATAATGAAGAATAAGCCAACAAATAGAATCTCACAAAGCCATGATTAAATAACTTACCTAACAAGAAAAGAAAAATTACATACCTTTTATACCAAATAAAAGACTAGAATAATTAAGTAACTTTACTAACAAATCTATGACTAAAATACAAACAATAAATAAAATGAATAAAAAAACTAAATTCAATCTCTCAAAGATCATGCTTGTCATCCTCTCCATCATTCTCCTCATCTCGAAAATGATGCGCCCTCAAAGCCAACGTAATCTCGTCTCTACAGCATATTGCCCAACTTCTTCCATCTACCACCCAACTGATCTAGAGTCTTCAACCTATTAATTTTGATACTAATAACATATTCTATCACAAGAACCTATGGAGTTGTGTACTCCCCATATATGGTTGGAACTTGCACATAATTCATGTCGTTGAAATTTTTAGCAAAATGCTCAATGTTAGTCGCTTCCTTGGTGTAGTCAATTTCCTCGTCATCTAAAAGAGGCAGACTCTCATATTTGGTCGACCATTCGTCATCAAGAATAGGCGGATCCTCATATTTGGTTGAGCCCTCGTTATCAAAAAGAGGTGGGCCCTCATATTCGGGTAATCCCTCGTCATAAAAAAGAGGTGGACCCTCATACTCCGTCAACCCCTTGTCATCCAAGAACTCGGCGGCTTCCAAGCCATCGGAGAAATCGAGATCTCGACCCAAAAAGAATCCTCACATCGCCGATCGTCGGCGAAATAGTCCTTGTCCCGTGCCGCCATATTACCAAAAAGACGTACCTCGGATATGGTGACGTCAAAGTCACCGCAACCGACAAACAATTGAGGCGATCAGGAGCAAGGCGCCTCCGTGTGTGCCCCGACTACGTCCATCGTTCATTCCCCCACGGCCGCCACATCTTTCGTCCGGCGCACGGTTCGCTTGCTTGCCATGAAAAGCGGTACGTAGAGCCAATCACATGTCCTCGAACCCCGTGGCTAGATCTGCGACCTTGCATCCAAACGCCTCATGTTGGCTTCCCAACACATTACACTGGAGTCCCAACATCGCTATGGGGGCCTCGCGCCTGTTGTCAGCATCGTTCCGTCTCGGCGGTATCGTGTAGGAATCGTATTGGTCTGCTGATACCAACTGATGTAGTGAAAGCATACGAAAGGAAAAACAAGAGATAAAATCTCAAGACAATCCTCCTTATATATAATTTCAGAACGCGCTGAGCCTAACTGGCAGTTTCGCATGCTTCGTAATCTTACATGACAAAATATTATGTTTTGTAATATACCAAATAACTTAGGTTCAGATTACCATATATATGTACACATATTTAATATATTTAAATCATTTCATATAAATCTATCTATTATCTTCTTTCTACTATATGCATATGATCTTACTTTCTGAATTTTGTGCTTTGTTTATTTTCTTATGTGTTTTAAATAAAAATATTATAAATAAAATTAATGATGTATATAAATTAATTTTTCAGAATTTAAAATAAATTTCTTAATTCACTTTGTTATTTATTATAAATTGTTATATATTGTTCTTTATTAATTTTTTCCAACTTCAACAAAATATATAATTTAGTTTTTCATTTTTTATTGTATATTTACTTATTTTATCAACCACCCCGTGTATATTATACTAGTATTTTGAATTCATAAACTTGACTCATTCTCCATAATGGAAAAGAGGCCAATAAATAGAATCTCACAAAGCCCTAAATAAATAACTTACCTAACAAGGAAAAAATAATTAAATATATTTCCTACTAAATAAAAGACTAGAATAATTAAATAACTTTACTAAGAAATTTAGGACTAAAATACTAACAATAAATAAAATGAATAAATAACTAAATTAAAGATCTCAAAGATCATGCTTATCCTCATCTCTATCATATCTCTAGCTTACTTTCCAAACCTTGTTAAACATGCAGTTGTTTCTTCCATAACCACAATAAAATCTATGTTGAAAGATGAATCTTGTCTGCAATGTAATCAACCACATCAATATAAAAAATATCATACCACCAGTGCTTAAAAGAATTTGAAGAGGGCTGCAAACCATTCCAGTCAATCTCAACGAGCTTCCAGACATGAAGTGCAACGACGAAGCTATGTTGAGCCCAGGGGGGCTTGTTGGCCCCCTGATTTCTTTTTAAAAAATCAGTAATATATATATATATATATAAAGAAAATACTATAAAATATGTATAGAAATGTAAAAAATATTCACAATATATTAATAATTAAAACTTATTTCTATGTTGTTTTAATTTAAATTAATAATATTATTTATTTATTAAAAAATATACTAACGATTCTTATATTTTACATTTCTCGATAATTTTTTTAAAATATTTATAATGATTTACTTTTTCGGCCTCTTAATTGTAAATCGATTTATTGATTTATAAAAACCAGTATTTAGTTAGACTGTTATATTTTTCAATATTTATTTTTTTTTTGTGTAATCACATATTTTTAAATTTATTTATTTTCTTCTTTGAAAAATATTCATTTGATAAACTCTCACCAACAAAAATGTTATGCAATGTGATGCGAAAATTCAATTTAAATCAATTTTTTAATCAATAAAACTTATTTTTTTCATTGTTAACTTAAGTTATAAATACATGGCATCTCATTTTTTTTAGTTTATTTTCCTAAAAGTTTGAGAGTGATACGGATTCTATGTTTTGAAAAATTTGATAGTACACATATCGATATTTATATTTATAGTAGATACATTTTTATATAAAATTAAGTTTCCCTGAGTGAAATTCTTAGATCCTGATGAAGTGCTATTGGACACTTAAAGAAAATGCGCTCTAAATCCTCCTCCATGTGTCCACACACCCAATAGAAAGGTTCCACATTGAAGAATTTTTTCTTTAGCTCATCAAAATACTCAAAAAATTTACCAACGTCAGCACAATAAATCCTCCTCCAACGTCTCCACAACAGATATAGTTGACATTACTAAAATTGGAGCATTATTGGTATTACTAAAATTTGAAATTTTATCACATAGACCTTTTAATAATATCAATAGGATACGGCCTTATCATTCAGTTAAATCTCAATCACATCCCAAAATGTTTCGATCTTATGTGTCGATTTATATATTTCGTATTCTATGCGTTGAATTTTGATTTATATACCTACTTATCAATATATGTGTTTCGTAATCCATGTGTCGAATTTTGATTTCTGTATATGGGCATGTGTCGAATTTCGATTTATGTTCTACGTGTCGATTTATGTGTTTCGTAATCTATGTGTCATATTTTGATTTTTGTGTTTGTGTTTCATAATTCTATGTGTTTGGTTTGTAGTAGTACATGTGGATCTAGATTTCGGTCCATGTCTATTAATACTTTTAAAATCGTAAAACGTTTGACTAGCATAAATTGTAAATATATTAAAAGTTCATAACTTTTATATTTGTTATCATATTCGTGGGTAAAATATACATGACTCTGTATTATACGAAATCTGCATATTTTTCCCTCGTATTTTAAAAATTGCGAGACCCCCTTGTAATTAACTATCTGTTGCACGATTCCCCCTCTCCGTCCAACTTGACGGCGCGTGCAGTACACATTGCTGCAATGCGATAATTATTCATTTTTTTCATATATTTTTTTATTTTATAATTGAAATTTACTATTTTGTTACCCCTTCCTTTACTAGCCATTATTGGCAAAAATTAGGCTTTGTTGCTCTTAGGATTCGAACCTGGGCCAAAAGCTCCAAAACAAGGCTTCCAACCATTGTGCCACCATCATTCTATAGTACATACCTAGCACAAATTTATTTAGAACAACAAAACAGAGAAAAACTTAAACAAAACAAAAAATAAAAAATAAAATAATCAAAAAATAAAGTAATTATAAGGAAATATAATTAAGATAAAACAAAATAAAAATTAAATTGAATAAAACTATGTGTTAAATTTGAAAACAATAAATAAATATATTAATAAATAAATATATTACTAATTAATATAATTATATAATGATAATTTTATTTAAATAAATTAAAAAATAAAAATGTAAAATAAATTTTAGTAAAAAATTTAAATATAGTTTTTAATGAATTGAATTAATGTATTATATATAAATAAAATAAAATAATATTAAATTTATTTATAATAAAATTAAATGATACTTCTAAATATAATATATTATTAAAGTAGTAATTTTAAAATAATCTATTTTTTATTTAATAACTATATATGATTTTATTTATTTCTTTTGTTTATTTTTAATATTATTTAATATTTTTAAATGTTGATAAATATATACATTTTATTTTTTTCAATAAAATGCTTATTTTTTACTTTGTGATAAATAATTGAAGTACTTATTATTTATTCAGTTTCTTTATTTTAAATTCTTGTAAATGTAAAATAAATTAATAAAATACTATTTATAATTAAAAAATATTAATTAAAAGATCACTTATCCTTTTTTATAAGCTTTAAATAATATAAATAAATTTTGGTTATTTTATTTATTTTTATATATTAATAAGTATAAACTTTTATAAAATTATTAATATTAGTTATAATTTACAATCTCATTATTTAGTTATTGTATTATATATAATTTTGAATATAATTATTTTATTATTGTATTATTTATAATTTACAATTTATTTTCTTAATTGGTATATCATTTATAATATAGAATTTATTTGTTCAATCATTAAATTATTTTTAATTAACAATATATTTATTTAATGATTATATTATTTAAAATATAGAATTTATATATCGAATTATTATATTATTAGTAATTTAGTATATATTTACTTAAATTATTATCTTATTTATAATTTAGAATCTATATACGTAGATATTATATTATTTCCGTCATTTCGTATGATATATATATACACAATCACAATAGTAAATAAATTTTTACTAGCTCAATTGGTCAGAGTGTCTTTTTACAACCCAAAGGGTAAGGGTTCGATTCCGGCCATTGTTTTTAATTCAACATATTAGTTGCAAGGGTAAAATGGTAAAATCAATGATAAAGTAAAGGTATAATGGTAAAATTAGAAAAAAAGTAATTTCATCAGTATTAAAGTAACGCTGTTAACATTAAATGCGAGTGTGCATGAAAATATTAAATACGGGGGGATTTGACGCAATTTTTAAAATACAAGAGGAACACGCGCAGATTTCGTATAACACATGAGAATTTGGTGCAATAAACCCTCATATTCGTATATAATATGTTAACTTTTGTATTTGTTATTAGATTTTTGTATGTATTATATCAGATTAATCATCTTGTGACAATATCTCATTTGGTATCCATATTGCTATATAAAATAAATAAATAATTTATTTATTATAAAATTAAATAATCTATCTATACTAATTAAAAAATAAAAAAATAATTACATAACATATGAGTTAAAAAATAATATAATATAAGTCGATCAAATCGTATAAGTGGAAAAACTCATTTATAAGTATAAAAGTAATTTTTTTAAAAGTACTTAAAATTAAATAATGAAAATTCTCATTTTAAATTCTAGTAGTAAAATAACTTTTTAAAAAGTAATTAATTTAAGTAAATAACTTTTCTCTTACATTAACATTAGAATTTCAGTATAATTTTTTTATTTGGCAATCGTGTAATCACGATTGTACTGATAAGTTTTTAAAATACTAATACGATCAAAACTTTTCACTGAATAAACAATCAAAAAAAAAAAAATGGCAAATAGAGATCTCATTTCAACAATACGTGTTTCATTCTCTACAATCCGTGAATCATTTTTAGATTTTTCTTTGATATTATGCATGCAATATCTTGGGGTATATTACAAAAAAAATATCATTTCCTACATTTTGCTCACATAACACATTCAATGAAATTCACAACTGTTCATGTTTATAGAATTGCAGTTTTTCAAATGATTTTAAAATATGTTTAAGCTTCAAGTTGTCTTATAACATGAAATATAAATGTTTATAAAATAGTAATAATTTATTGCATAAAAATTTAAAATGAATTTTTCTATATTTGTTCAACAATAGACTCAGACATTTATGCTAAAATACAAATACAAAACAGATGCAATACAAGCATCAAATATACGAAACCGAAAACAGGTACGTAACTGCGTTTTTTTTTATCTCACTCGAATATTCAATCGTCTCTGCAGCAAAACTACAAAAAGGAACATCAAATACCAAAAAACCATCTCAACAAATACTCAGTGTCATAGGATGCAAGCACACTAGGGACCTCTCAAGTTAAAACATCTTCTAAATATGCCAAAAAAAATGGATTTCATCTAAAAATCTAATACTGCACCATAGGCCCTACCTTGAGAATT